TTGGTGAGCCCGCATGTTAGACATGTATGTATACAAAATTAGGATCGAGTGTATTAAAAAATTAAATGAAGCAACTGGATTACTTAAAAAAACGGACCTACGAGCGGCGCTGATAATGACGGAAGTAAGTTTGGATTAACTGATATAATCGGTTAGTCTAAACAAGATTATGAATAAGAACACATGTGTAGCATGAATAAGCATTGCATTAGATTTGGATTAGATCAAACGTTTCGTTTGTGAGTCAAAAGTAATCCTTAATAATGCAGCGCAGATTGGCTGCACGAATGAAGCCGGTAAATAGATGACATATTATGACTAGATGGGAAAGAAATTCAAATGTGTATGATGATGTACTCATTGGGTGTTGGGTGGAATGGTTTTCGTGAAACGATTTTTTGTTTCAGAGTTTGGGCTAAAAACAAATTATAAATTACGGCCCTGAAATCAAACTACATGGGTTATCAGTTAGAGCAATCTATTAACAATTCATGTGACAATGAAACGTTAATACTTGATACTGGTCCCTGTTAAAGTATAGTTAATCGTCTGAAAAGTTAGCCAATGATCACAGCAGTACGCAATGCATTTGAAAACCACAAATGTAGTTTGATGACATAGGCTACAGGTACATGAATAAGTAAGTGTATTAATTTATAAAAGTAACATAAATGTCATCATAAGTAAGGTTTTCCCCCTGAATAACTTTGTGGAAAATGTTTACAGCAGGCTTTATTCTACACGTCTTGCCCTGATAACAGCCTGGTACATTAGGTTTAATTGGTCTATTGCTGATTGGTTAGTAATTTTATAAATGCGCCTCTTTTGCTTTGGTTAAGTAAAGTAAAAGTTTCCCTTTCAAACCTGACGGTCTATGGGGCAAGTGAAGTAGAGTTCACTTGTTTCTGTGACCTCGGCATATGAAGAGATAGTGTGGTCAGCACTATGTCCAGCCGCCTTTACTTTCCCTAACGTGAGTTGGGTACCCATCTGAGATGGGTGGACCCGGATTCGAACTCGAGACTTACGGGTTAGCAGTCCAGCTCTCTACCGCTAGACCACTCCGTCCCACTTTGCTTTGGTTAGTCGTCCTTATATAAGTCAAGTTATGGTAATCTACCTAAATAAATGTATGTATGTCTTTTTTAAAAAACTAAGTGTAGCTACAAAGGCTTACTCTCAGAATGCAATTATTACACTAAACGCAATCATACGCATTACTTAGCACAGGTCATACTCATTAAAACATTAACTTAAATATGTATTAAAACTGACAAAAGAAATCAAATACTGAGACGTTGTTTACTTTTTTTTAGTTTTACAATTAAATTAAACAATATATGTTCAAAATAAATAAAAACCTATCGTTTATTAAACAAAAAAAAATGGCGCCTCTAATCTATATATATAATTCTCTTCTGGGAGCCGTTTGAAAACAAGCTGCAAACGCGCCTTGCAATCCCCTCTCTTCCTTACTAGGCATAAATCAACCTCCCCCACCCCCGCATGGTCTGATGAGCTGTAGTTTACTCTATGAATGTTTACATTTTACAATCGTAGAGCTGGGTTTAGTGACGGCTATTAGGGACAGATAATTTAGTTTGAAATTATTTTAAACTTAGGGGAGGTAACTAAGAGAAGGCTGCTTTCACGGGTGGGGGGGGGGGGAGGAAGGAGGGTTTTAGTGTTTTAAAGCAAATATTTTCAGTGGCAGCATTAGTACTGTAGAATTCACAAATTATGAATTACTAAACAGTAGAAAATAAAACAACTAAATAGCGGAGTATGATACGCTGCGGGTCGGCTCGTCTGTTTTATTTTGAAAGTTAAATAACAGATGAATAACTGAATATAAAAAGTCATTAGTTACCCTCATTGCAAACTGTTCTTTTAATGTCAATTTTCCTATTTGATTTTAGTGTTTGTAGCAATGCGTAGAAGATCATAAATTAAGTTAGCGAACTTATGCTAAATAACGCTCACTATGTTACGAGAATTAAGGCTCTTGAATCCGTTTAAATAAAGAATGGAACAATTGAATAAAAATTCATTTTTAGAACTGTAGACTCACAGGACAAAGGGTATAATTTTGCTTTGGTAGTCGTCCTTTTATAAGTCAAGGTTTATTAATCTAACTAAATAAATTTATAAATATGTCTTTTTTAAACAAAGTGTAGGTACATAGGCTTACTCTCATGATGACATACGCATTACTTAGCACAGGTCATACTCATTTAACATTAACTTTACTATGTTTAACACTTTTTCCATTTTCTCAAAAACATATGAATTTATAAAATAGCCTACTAATATTCCGCACTATTATACACACAATTTTTTGCTGTTCCCTTGGTGGCAGGGGCGGAACTACCATACCGCCAGACCCCGCAATGCGGGGGGGCCCAGGACGTTTAGGGGCCAAAAACAATGATTTTTTTTTTCAAAAATTATGTTTTTCATGCATCTTGAAAGTGGTTTTGTGAAAAAAAAAACAGGTCTACTATAGCAGAGATTGTTGCGTAGAAAAATATTTTAAAATCTACTAGAGCTATAGTTTGAAAGGTAGGTAAACATTCACACTACTTCCATGACTTACTGCCCTTCTTTGAAATAGGGGTGCCCACGAAGCTCATTTAATTAGTTTTGTACTATCTATATTAAAAAGCAATTGATTCTCTGAATTGTTATTTAAATAAGACGTACTATACAATAGTATAGCTATAAAAATCAATGTTTTCAAAATTGATATTATAAAAGCCAAAAATGAAAAAAATAAACATAACGCGAGGAACCATTCACAAATCAAGCTAACATCTTTATATATTTTTGACCAGGTCGTTTAGGGGCCTCAAGCCGATCGTAATACATTTTTATAGTTAAAAAAATAATTTTCTTGTACAAAAACAAACAGATCTACTACAGTAGTGATGTTCTACAGTAGCAAACACGCTGTTTCGTAAAGGAAAAAAAATAAATGCTACATGAGTTCAAACCACTTCCATGACTTATTTCCCTTTTTTAAATTGCCAAATATGTGTGTTCTTAAGAAACTTTTAATAGATTTGCAGTAAGCAAATTAAAAAGCAATTACTTTTCTTAATTATAATTATTTTTTAAAAATACATAATAAAGAATGGTATAGCATAAACAGGAAATGTATTTAAAACTAATAATATAAATAAAAAAAAACATAAAAATAAACATAAGGCGAGAAACCATTACAAATACAAAGCTTTAACAACTTCATATTCTTTTGACCGTCTAAAAGTTTAAGAATCATTATGCCAGCCAATAAAACAGAGAATTTCAAAACAGACTAATAATATTAAAATTCAAATTTCAAACAAGCCCGAATTGAGTATTCTATGTAGGCCTACGTTTTTTCATATATATATATATATATATATATATATATATATATATATATATATATATATATATATATATATATATATATAGGGCCCTATATATATATATATATATATATATATATATATGGGGCCCAAAAATATTTTTTTGCGGGGTGGCCCTTTTTTTCTAGTTCCGCCACTGCTTGGTGGTCAATTATATGTTCTCTGAGTTTCTATTCTATTTAAAAGCGTAAGTTATTAAAAATTAATTAAAAATCATGTCTACATCCCGAGTTGCCATCCCTAGTAGTGTTATATAAGTATGTTCAGGAAAGTTTTCAGGTGATCACTCCCGCTTTATTTTATTAGGAGAAAAATCGAAAGTCTAACGATGTAGCACTTTAGTAACTTTACTTCGAAACATTGACAAATAACTATTTTAATATTATATATTTTATTACAAACACCACCAAATGAAATAATTGAAATTACGCATTATTCTATATCACGAAATAAAGCAGTTTCATATAAATAAAACAACAAAAAAATTTAATATTCATGTAATTTAAAGGTATTATGTAAAGAAGAAAAATTCATATTGATATAAAGCACGATAAACATCGAAAAATTAAAATACACACACACGTTTGAAATAACAAGACATTAAATGCACTAGAAATAAGAAAATAAAACTAATTCATTTTCTTTAAATTTGAATAAAAGCGGTGCTCGTTCATAAGTTCTCTAACATATGTTATCGAATAAATGTTTTATAAAAGAAAGGTAGTAAATTTGTTTACTTATTTTCTTCGTATAAAATAAACATTTTTATTTTAAAAGGTGTTGATATGTTTTTTTTGCCAGTTTTTAGTATTTCGTTCAAGTTAAAGTTGACACTATTAGCAGCTATTAGCGTTTGAACCCGACCACTCTATTACGGTCTCTAAGGACACGCGTCTTTCCACTCTACGAGAGTATACCTCGGTTATTAACATGTCAAATTGTCATATTAAACCAAAACTCAGCTGACTGCTCGCCTTTTGATATTGATTTTGTAATATTTTAATGACTAATAAAAGTCTTTATTAAATTAAAAAATAGACATCCAAGCATTGTAATCGAAGAAAAATGATTGCCGAAAAATTTAAGCGAAATCGCTGCATTAGAAGTCAGTGAAAATTGATTCACAAGATTAGCAACAAAAACATAAGAAGCAACCAATCTTTGCGAACTAAATTAAAGCTAATAAACATACTTTAAAAGTATACATCAAATGCTTTAAATTTAAATAAAACAAACAACATTGATTTTTTTTAATTAGCATTTATGCAAAGCATTTAAAAAATACGGCAACAATAATATTACCAATGAATAACTAAACACAGATTAAAAAAACGAAACAAAAATTTAATTAGGTGACTTTTTTCTGATTTGGTTATTTTTATTTTCCAATTTTTTTTTAATAATTGTGAAACTTGCCTACTATATACATGCATGGACACATAAATATATATATATATATATATATATATATATATATATATGTAAATATATATATATATATATATATATATATATATATATATATATATATATATATATATATATATATATATATATATATATATATATAAATCAAATGCATTTAATTATATATTCAAGCTTCATTTAGTATTTTGTATTAAATCATATTTTATTTGACTCAACTTTAACTAGTGATAGTATACAGCAACAAATACAAATACCAAATTTTAAAAGTTCAAGTCCCTTCCCTAATTTAATATATAAAATTTGTGTCTGTTCATGTGTGTAAAAGTATATGTGTGCGAAAATGTGTGTTAAAGTGAAATTTTAAAACATTATGTATTAGTGTTTGTACGGAACAACAAACGAAACTTCTAATATTTTTTTTTTGGTAAATGTGCGTGGCATGGTTGTATGTGTATGCATTTTATGCGTTTAATGTGTTTGTCTGTATGCATGTGATTGAAATACATAATTGAATATCCACAATTTTTTCTGTTGAGTTGCTTTACATAACAACACCATTAGATTAAAAAAAAACATTAAATGCAATTGATGGGCTCTTTGATCCTCTCATGATATCACGATTGTTTCTACTTTTAGGTCACCGTAAAATTCCAAATATTCATAACAAAAATTATTGGAAAAAAAGGATATATAGTCATCTTGTGTAACTGTAACGCTGTTTACTTTGATCTGAATTAAATATATTCATTAATAATTAATTATTTACATTACTATTCACATTGTTTTCGATTAACACTAACACATACTAAATAAACACTTAGTATTTTAAATCAGTTGTGTAATCTTAAAATAGCAATGTTGAAATTACCTGAAGTATACCTGAATGTGTGTTATGTTCAATTAAAATCTTTTGGTGAAGCTTAAAGTCGAATTTATCATAGAAATTCAAATCAGTTAATGGTTTATTCATGCCATAACTTCTCGACGAAGTTCTAACCGGATTGAAAGATAGTTGCACTTTTAGATGACCGGCAATTTTTCCAGTGCCCGCGGGTGAACATCGGTAGTCTATGGTAAACCTGTAGAAAATAATATTAACAGTGGCGTAGCGAGGTTGGGTGTCACCCGGTGCGGCACTTAAAAGTGTCACCCCCCCCCCTCCCGAGGCGTAGCGACCCTTCCCGGGGACAAACTTTCAAATTATTTTCGATATGCACAACCCCCCCCCCCCCCCTCAAACTTTCGAATTGCACCCCCTTCTCAAATTTTTCTATAAATATTTTGCTATTTTTGCCTTGATGTCACCCCCCTAAATGGTGTCACCCGGTGCGGTCCGCACCCCACCCTCGCTACGCCTCTGAATTATAATATCAATGAAAATAGAATAAACTTGTATTAATTAAAACTTTTACTGTCGTGCTTTTTGTCTGGGGAACGAAATTGCTGGCTACTTTTAACGGATCGATTCGTTTTAAACTTAGCACCCTGATTAAGACCCGATATCGGTGTAATGTCGCAATAAATTTAACTTCATTGAATGTATATAAATTTTTAAGAATTAATTACATTTTTGTATATAAAGAACTTTTTTCCTTACTATTTAATGCATATTATATTTTTGCATACTCTTACAGAACACTAATGGGCACAGTATATCCAGGGCAATCGGACTCTCATCTTCTTTTACTGTTTGCGCCGCCTTTGTTTCCCTAACGTAAATTTGGTAGCGTTTGACTCAGGAACGTTCTACAGATCTGAACCTGTATTTGAAATCGATACATTCTAACTCTTTACCCCTAGGCCACAATAGGGCTATAGTCTTGCCTTTTTAATTATTTTAAATCGTAACATTAGAATAGAACTACATAGAAAATAGGAAATTGCGCACCAAATGAACAAAATAAATGTGTATACGGGTTATCGTGTATATAAATAAATAAGTTGAGAATACTCCTTGGTAGGTATCTGCAAAACAATTATTTTTTTCAACGGCAGGGCTCGATTTGATTCTTCAATAGGTATAGTATATAAAAATAAAAGTCGATTGCGGTTTGACACCGTTAATCCGATCGCCGAGAAACTTTGGAAAGTTAATTAGAATACCCCGAGGGATGTTTGTCTCTGCAAAAACATTTTTTTTTTAATTTAGCACAGGCGGCGCCCAGTGAGGGTGCGATTTTTCTCAATATACGAATATATAAAAATAAAAGTCGGAACCGTTCATCCGAGTACCATGAAACCTTGGGGAGTAGATGATAATACTCTCAAAAATATTTCTGTGAAAAACAAAAAATAAATCTTATGGGCGGCGACCGGCGGAGGGGTGCAATTTTCGTCAATTCACGGTTTCAACGCGGCTACGTTGGCACTTGGCATCTGCTAATCGAGCGCCTACATAGCGGGTAAAGGGTTCAACTATATTTAACAGTAAAACAGACGCAACCCTAAGCGCCCGTGGCTACACTACGATCACTATGGCGCCAATATTAGTTTTAAAAAGCTATATACTATATACACGCTAGGCTACAATAATCGTTGACTTAATTGAATTACGCGCTTCATTCGGCGCCCCAGCAAGGGGCAATTTGGCGCCTCTGGCTTACCCGTGAGACACAGGGCGCCTACACTTAGTTTTCAAACAGCGCGATATTCTATGGATTCAATTGTTTGCTTTAGTCGCTCTTTAAATCGAATCAGGCGTGTTCTGCGGTGTCTCTGCAGGGTGTGCTTTGGCGCAACGGGCTACCCCGTTAGCGCTTTGGCGCCTAGGTTCGTTTTAAACCATGCGGTAGACTGTGGATACAATGGGGCATTATATTCGTTGACGTATTTGAAACATCGGATATCAATATATCCGGTAGGATGTACATCTTTTGACCATCTTTACGTGAAATTCATTTCACTTATGTTTGACTTTAAATCTATTGCGACCACTACATTAGATGTTTTTCAACTGATAACAATACAAAAAAAAACTAAAAAATATATCTAAGTAAATAGAAATTTAAAAATGAAGTTCCTGAAAATATAATCCCTCGGTCTATTCTTTCATTATTTGAATTTTGATAAGCAGTTAACATAATGATTAATAATTTATTTCTATACTTTGGGTTCTCTGTAGATGTGTAACCTTGAACGACAACAGTTTCACCGCCTGGACGTTTTTTAATCTTAATTGGACTTGTCTGAAATGAAATAAGTTTTAGTTGCACTTAATGGTTGTTATCTTTTTAACATAATATATATTACTTAGGTGAAATTTAGTAGGTTAGTATAATAAAATTTTTAAGTAATATTCATCAATATGATTTTAAAACATTTTCCTTTATAATGATATTTTTAAAAAATCCAAAAAATATATTATACTTTTTAAAACCAATCGAACATTTGTAAGTATTATTTTTGTATATATAAGTTAAGCATGTATTTATACTTACGGGGTTTGTATACTGTTGTAAAAAAAAACGTTATTTTTTTAATTACATAATTAAATATAAAATAAACATAATTTAAGGACACACCGTGTTTCTATATTTGAACATGCCTTTATATTTATTTTCCGTGTTTAAATCAATTTTAGTGTATACATTTAGTACACCCAACTTATTAATTTTAACAAAAGTCATTATCTTTAAGTTCTTCACATACTGCTGGAGATACTTACATCATACCTCGGAAAATATAAGCCAAATAGAGAGAGAGAGAGGTAGAGAGAGAGAGAGAGAGAGAGAGAGAGAGAGAGAGAGAGAGAGAGAGAGAAAGTGTGAAGTTGGACTTTTATTGTTTATTTAAATAAACAATTAACCAGCATTTAGATTATAGAATGAAAAATATAACACCTGCTCCAGCACTTCTCTACAATAAGCGAGTCGAAAGATTTTATTGCTTTTATACATTTTTTAACGTATTTTGATAAAGTATAGTATGGGGAAGGGAGTGGTGTAGAAATTGAGTGCATATCATCTAATAGTTTTTGCTCGACCCCAATAAGACAATTTTGTTTCCGATCAATCTGGTTGGTTGAAGAAAGTGATGACAATGCTTTTATTTAATCATATAAACAGATAAACTATAATTCTAAATGTTTATGCAACGAAATTTCATATATTATCAAACATGAGAATTGTTTATGGTTGTAGCCTGAACGCTCTAGAGAACTTATAAGAAACAAGAAAACTATCACTGGAAAGACAATGATGTCACTTGAGCAGAATAAGGAAAAATAACAACCAAATAATGTTGATAAAAAAATTAAACTACTGACAGTACACAACACTAATGGCGTCATGGTTGTGAGATAATCAAATTTAACCAAAAATCGAATGTCGAAAATGCACAAAAACACACACACACACACACACAAACACAAAAATATATATTTATATATATATATATATATATATATATATATATATATATGAGATAAATTAATGCCAAAACAGTTTTAAGTGCATTTTATGTATAATGCTATATATATATATATATATATATATATATATATATATATATATATATATATATAAATTATATATACATATATACTTAAATATACGTAAAATAATTGTAAATTTACTTCATCTGCAGATCTGCTTTGAAGATCTGTCTCTGACTTCTTATCCATGTTTTCTGCAGTTGTGCCGTTCTTGTCATGTGTTCCTTCTACACATGACCAACATATTAATGCAGTCAAATAAAAAACCACCAACACTTGACGTTTCGTGATCGAATACATGATACGAATTGCCTGATTAAAAGAAACAAAATCGAATTTCTTTTTTAAAATAAATTCAAAGCAAATTTTTTTTTAAACCACTTTTTACGCTTGACGTACCTCTCAGCTTGTTTCCAGTAACGTCTCGGAATATGTTGTTGTTTCTTCTTTTACTGTTACAATACAGAGTACTGTATGTATCGAATATTAACTGACTTTTATATAGCTTCTACGTGGCGTGAGACGTGGCTTACACTTAGTTGTAGGGGCTAAAGTATTGACATATGTTGCCACAGCTATGTAATTTACGTTATTCAGTGGCGTATCGATATAGTCATTCTGATTTTTTTTAAAAAACAGAAAATTAAATAAAAAACACAGTACACCCAAATTCCTTAAAGTTTACAAGTATTTAAAGTTTGCATTATAACTCTGAGACGTATTTTAATATTTGCCTAAATTACCCAAGAGGTCAAAGAAAAAAAAATCATAAAAAACGTTGTAATAACAAGCATTTATATACTAATGCACTAAAAAGTAGAAAATAAATTATAGACTGCTATTTAAATAACTATAAAGAAAAGCGTGGGTCACTCTACTATCTGTAGGATACCTTTACTAATGTTTAAGAAGAGATCCACGCTTTTCTTTATAGTTATTTATATAGTAGTTTATAATTTATATTTTACTTTTTAGTGCATTAGTACATAAAAGCTTGTTATTAAAACGTTTTTTATGAAATTTTTTTTAGTATCTTACATGTTTTTATTTACAATAGAGTTTCATGACTAAAAATCATTGCGCACCTATTAAACGTGATGACGCGCTAATGAACGTGATGACGCGTGTGGTGCGGTTGGATAGATATGCTTAGTAATTCGGTTCAATTTTATTCAATTTAAAAAAAAATTAATTAGGCATCCAATTAAGTCAAATTTAATTTCAGATCGCATTGTCTTCATGTCTTGACCCACGTGCCTACTGTGAACCGTATCGGTCAAGTAGAAATGTCCGAATTTTCGCTGCGGCGTTTCGATCTAGGCCTACGATAGACTGACGACTGACAACAGAGGAAGCGAGTTAACAAAAACTTGTAAAAATATTGACTACGAGAAAAATGTCCCGTCGAGGAAGGATACAAAGGGCGCTAGGTTGATAGTGCTGTTTCTTTTCTCTAAACTAAAACCATAACTAAAATCACCACCTTCATTCAATTTAACCGAAAACGAAAAATGACATTGAAAACGGATTTTTATCCAGAATCGGTACTTTAATTTATACAAAATATAGTCATAGGCATATCCCTAAACCATGCACCTAATCTCATTCATGACAAAAGTCGCATTTAGAGTTTCTTTCAGGCAACTCCGCCCCCCCCCCCCCCACACACACCCCAAAACATGTCTACCGTCCCATTCAACGAAATATAATTATATACTTTTTCCAGTGTCCGTCCCCTCCCTGAGCCTCCGAAAATTTCAAGTACCCCCACCCCTCTCAGGGGAGGAAAAAGTCTGAAAGAAACACTGGTCGCATTTGTAGATCATACAAACTAAAGGAAGAAGCTGGGCTGGGGGGGGGGGGGGGGGTCGGCTTAGACGTTCTTACGTGGGGGGTTCGGCTTCGCCCCTACCCGAAGAATTGTATGAAGGAAACTCTTCACGCAAACCACTTAGATTAGACGAAATTTCCTTTTTATTCAATGTTTACTCGAGAATCAATGACGTCATATTACTGTGTGCACTCTCCGGCTTGATACTATTTTTTACTATATGCTAAATATATGACGTCATATTTCGCTTCCGTTTCACTATGCATGTTTTTAATTTGCTTGTGTTTTCTCTAGAGCGTTCTTGTCAGATACATAGATAGATACATAGATAGATACATAGATACACAGACAGCGAAACTATCATATAGAATATCCCGAGTTGCCATCAACCGTAGTGTTATATTAGAATATTCGAGAAAGTTTAGGGGAGATCACTCCCTGTTTATTTTTTCCCCAAGAATCATATAAGTTGATTAAACACTAATTGACATTAGCTGCATGTGTAGTCGCTAAAAATGATTTCCCAGACTACATGTTTGTATCACTCTAAATCTTCAAGGTAGGCGTAATTATAGTACATGGTGCCTCAGCTTCATCTATGTCAAAACTTGGCACCTCTACATCACATCTAGTCATCCTCAGCTGTTGTCCTTAAACACCAGGTGAACTCTTATCTATCTGCCCTATATGTCATAAATTCGGAAAAAGAAAAATGTAATTTGCATTATAACACTCCCTGGAAAATATGTCAATTTATATTTTACCCATTTATAATGCAGCTATTTCATTCAGTTTCCAGATACCCTATTATTAATTGAGAAGGCAAAAATATCCAATTTCATGTAGTTAGATATACAATTATTCATCAAAATTAAATTATAATACATTTCTAAATTTATTAACCAATCTCAAGCGTTTACTATATCAGCCGGTTAAAATGTGTTTTTTTTTCGGCATGAGTAATTGTTTGCCTCAAACTTCGACCGTGGTTTAGAAGATAAACGTCTTTTAGAGATTGCGATTGGTCTACTGAATTTGTTTTATGGCAAACAATTTTTGTCGTAATCTTTGTTGTGGCAACTTAATTTAGAACGTTATATTAAATAAACTGGGAGTAATATTCTATATAACACTACGTGGGATGGCAGCTCGGAATATAGACATGATTTTTAATTACTTAAACTTTTTAAATAAACCGGGAGTGATCTCACCTAAACTTTCTCGAATATTCTTATATAAGTTGGAATATAGACATAATTTGTAATTACTTAAACTTTTAAAAATAGAATAGAATCTCTTAGAAAAAAGAATTGCGCACCAGGCGAACGCCAAAACAAAATGTGCAATATTATTAGTACTTTATAAATTTTACATGCGCTTTTTGAGAAATAGGAAATAGCGTAAATTAGTACTTCCGGTCAACGGAAATAACTCAAAATTTGACAGAAGGTAGAGAATTAGATCTTTTACTAACATGTGAAATTTCATTTATCTATCTGAAATAGTACTCAAGTTATAGGCTTTTTAAAAAATTCAAAGTAGAAAAAGTACCACTTCCGGTTATCGGAAATCGCTCAAAAGTTGATCAGGATCACGATTTTGATAAAATACTTATATATGCAATTTCATCTAACTTGCTGTAACGGTACTCAAGTTATCGTGTTTACACACAGACAGACAGACACACACACAGACAGACACACAGACATACGGACAAGATTGCAAAATTATGTTTTTCCGTTTCAGTGAGGTGTAAAACGTAGAGATTTGTAAAAATCCCGATTTTTTTTGCACGATTACAAGACTTTCTCTATACTTCGTATATACGAGAAAGAAAAAAGTAGAAAAATCGCTCAAAAGTAAAAATGGAAAATTGAATATACAAAACTCTTTAAAATGTTTGTGTTAAGTAACACTCAGCAGCATATTTTAAATGTGAATAATAACATGGTTGTTATAAGGAACATAATATCAGATTAACTGCGATTAAGTGATAAAAGATTGATAGACGTTATATAGTAAGACCAGCATGGGCGAGCCCGCATGTTAGAGAAGTATGTATACGCGATTTAATGAAGCTGCAGTTAGATTATCTTATGGGCTAAACATAGGTAGCGCTGATTGTTACAGAATATGGTTGGATTAAAAGATATAGTCAGTTAGTCCAAACAAGTCCAAACAAGTTTTGGCATATGTACGTAATGCAGTGGAAGTGAACAGACGAAACTAGTATTTAGATGACATTATACGCATAGATAGGACGAAACACTGAAGATATAATTTGGTGGGTGGCTGTAGGTGGGGTTGGGTTAAAAACTGGATACGCTGTTTTAGGATTTGGGAAAATGTGACATGAAATTTTGTGACGCTGGGGGACTAAAAGGGATAGGTGTCAGGCTAAGCAATAGTAGAGGCTATAATTGCATAAAACATTTTAAAGTAAGCACATGTGGTTGACTGTGTTAAAAACATTGGTTTGGCACAGTCGGTAAAACAAAGCTCGTATGTTAAACAAATATTAAAAACCAATGAGAAATAACTTCAGTTTATGATTTTGACTGTGATTGACTGTGCTTGTGTTTGTGTTTGTGTTTGAGTCTGTGTTTGTGATTGTGATTAGGATTAGGATGGTGGTGATAGTGATAATGGTTATGAAGATGAAGATGAAGATGAAGATGAAGATGAAGATGAAGATGAAGATGAAGATGAAGATGAAGATGAAGATGAAGATGAAGATGAAGATGAAGATGAAGATGAAGATGAAGATGAAGATGAAGATGAAGATGAAGATGAAGATGAAGATGAAGATGAAGATGAAGATGAAGATGAAGATGAAGATGAAGATGAAGATGAAGATGAAGATGAAGATGAAGATGAAGATGAAGATGAAGATGAAGATGAAGATGAAGATGAAGATGAAGATGAAGATGAAGATGAAGATGAAGATGAAGATGAAGATGAAGATGAAGATGAAGATGAAGATGAAGATGAAGATGAAGATGAAGATGAAGATGAAGATGAAGATGAAGATGAAGATGAAGATGAAGATGAAGATGAAGATGAAGATGAAGATGAAGATGAAGATGAAGATGAAGATGAAGATGAAGATGAAGATGAAGATGAAGCTGAAGCTGAAGCTGAAGATGAAGATGAAGATGAAGACGAAGACGAAGACGAAGACGAAGACGAAGACGAAGACGAAGACGAAGATGAAGATGAAGATGAAGATGAAGATGAAGATGAAGATGAAGATGAAGATGAAGATGAAGATGAAGATGAAGATGAAGATGAAGATGAAGATGAAGATGTAGATGAAGATGAAGATGAAGATGAAGATGAAGATGAAGATGAAGATGAAGATGAAGATGAAGATGAAGATGAAGATGAAGATGAAGATGAAGATGAAGATGAAGATGAAGATGAAGATGAAGATGAAGATGAAGATGAAGATGAAGATGAAGATGAAGATGAAGATGAAGATGAAGATGAAGATGAAGATGAAGATGAAGATGAAGATGAAGATGAAGATGAAGATGAAGATGAAGATGAAGATGAAGGTGAAGGTGAAGGTGAAGGTGAAGGTGATGGTGATGGTGATGGTGAAGGTGAAGGTGAAGGTGAAGGTGAAGGTGAAGGTGAAGGTAAAGGTAAAGGTGAAGGTGAAGGTGAAGGTGAAGGTGAAGGTGAAGGTGAAGGTGAAGGTGAAGGT